CAGGTAAATAAGATATTGAAATTTAGACGGGAAAACACATTCATAGAATCATAAATTTATCTAAAATAATCTTAGTGAAGTCAAAAGATTAAAACAAGTTTATTCTACACTATCTTATAAGGATTGTGCCAGATTCGGCAAGTAATTTGTTTCAAAACATCTACATTTTGTATACTGATTAACTTCTGAAATATATTTACTTCATTTCTCATGGTTGGAAGTCGAGCATACATGTATTTTACTTTTAGTAGCATCTAACAGTATAAGCTCCTCTAACCTGAAGACTGTCTCAGATAGCTTTGGCTTGTAAGAGTACTACTGAAGTGGTGTACGGTATTTCAAGGATCATTTCGGGATTCCACTCTCTGAATTACCAGTACGGTAATATACCGATTAAAAAAATATTATTATTGCTCCCTTGGGTTCCTAGTGAAACATAGGGCTTCAACTGCACGTCTCCACTTGCTTCTCTCTTCTACTGTACTTTTCACCTGCATCCATCTTAGTCCATACTGTTTCAACTCCTCTTCACACGATCTCCTCCATGTCACCCTTGCACTGACGTCCCACTCGCCGCTTCTCTTTAGGCCTGGTTACACTCGAGCAATGGCCTGACGCGCGACGTCACCCAGCGACGGCCTCCTCAGCGAGTGCTCGATCCATCTCCACTTTCTCCTGCATATTTGTTGGGCAATTGGTTCTTGTTTTGTTTGTTCCCATAGTCTCTTGTTGGTGATTCTTTCCGGCTCGACCATCTGATCTCCAGTATAGAGCGAAGATAGCTAGCTGTTGATAAATGTCTGCAACGGGCTGTTGTAAATATTCTTTGTGACTCGCCCGCCAAGTTTCTGATCCGTATAGAAGAACTGACTAACTCGACGTTGTTTGTATTGAAAATCCGACCGACAGAATTTTGTTGTTGATTCTGGCTGAGTGACGAAGATTTCCAGATTGGTTGTTTCAGGTTGATGAGTGAATGTGTTTCTCGCCTTCCCGATTCTCGCTCGATTTGACATCCTCGTCCGTTCCGACTGCCTGTAGTTGAGACAATGCTCCCTAGATAGGTGAGTGAATGAAGTAACCTCATTCGAATCCCTCCCGTTGATGGTGATTGGCGCTGGATGTTGTTGCTGTTGTTGTTGGTTGGTTATTTTCATAACTTCCGTCTTGTCTATGTTCGCCTGGAGTCCTGACTTCGCCGGCTGCTCCTTCGACCAGTTTGTCGGTTTTCGCTTGTAAGTCTTCGATTTTTGTGTGACATAACACATAAGTCATCCGCGAAATCCAGGTCTTCTAGGTTCTTCATGTCGGTCCAGGATATTCCTGTCTTCTCGTTTCCCACTGTCTGACGCATAATCCAGTCCACCACAATTAGGAATATCATTGGTGATATTAAGCACCCTTGTCTGACTCCTGTGTTTACTCCAAACGCCTTGCTGAGTTTTCCGTTGTGGATCACTTGACATTTGCCGTTGTCGTACAGCTGTCGAATAAGGTTGATGAATATTTGGGGTACGCCATAGTACTCGAGTAATTTCCAAATTACTTCACGGTCAACGCTGTCGAAGGCCTTCTCAAAGTCTATAAAGTTGAGGTAGAGGTTTGATCGCCATTTCATGCTTTGTTCTGTGATGATGATGCGTAGAGTTGCAATTTGGTCAGACCATGATTTGCCTTTCCTGAATCCAGCTTGTTCTGGTCGGAGTTCTGTTTCCAGTGCGTCCTTTAATCTCTCCAGGATGATGCGACTCAGGATTTTACTTGGCGTCGATAGGAGCATGATTCCTCGCCAGTTCTTGCAGAGTAAGATGTAAGTCGCCCTTCTTTGGTAGTTTCACGAGGTAACCTTTCCTCCAGTCAGTAGGCACCTTTCACTCCTTCCAGACCTTTTGCAATAATGGAGTCAGCATATTTGCTGTGGTCTCTGGGTCCGCTTTCAGTGCTTCAGGGGGTATTCCATCTGGTCCAGTTGCTTTTTCAGCTTTCAGAAGCTTGATTGCATTCAAGACTTCTGCTTTCGTTGGAGAATTGGCGTCGACTTGCAGTTGTGTGTGCGATGTTGTTGGTATTTCTGGACGGGTTGCAGGTGGTGGTCTGTTTAAGAGTCCTTTGAAGTGCTCCGCCCATTGTTTAATCTGTTTTTCTTCCTTGGTAATGGGCTTCCCTTGGCTCTCTTTTATAGGTTTCGCTTGTGTTGGTCTCTTCCCGGATAGAGATTTGGTTATCTGATGTAGTGTCCTCAGGTCCTTTTTGCCAGCTGCCTTCTCAGCTTCAGTGGCCAGGTTGTCGTAGAATCGTCTTTTGTCCTTCCTAGCACTCTTCTTCCTTTCTTTGTCCAGTGATGTGTAAGTTGAGCTCAGCGTCTCCTTCTCTTGTCCGTCTTTGCATTGAATCATTTTCTCTTTCACCATTCTCCTCTCTACTATTAGTTTACGAGTGTCCATCGAGAGCCATTCCTCGTCTTGTCTCTTCTTTCTTCCTAGAACCGTTGAACACGTTTCGTTGAGAATCGCCTTCAGAGACTTCCAATGTTCTTCCACGCATGATTCTTCAGTGATGTCACGTAGTGTTTCCTGCTTTGCTGTGACAGTTGCAGTGAAGTGTCCTTTGTGGTTGTGTCCTTCAGTTTCTGAGTGTTGAACTTGCATTGTGGCCTATCCCCAGCTATCCTTGAGGCTTTTAGTTTCACCTTGAAAGTCTCTTGTACTATATAGTGGTTTGAACCCACATCTGCTCCTCTCCTTGACCTTGTGTCCAGTAGGCTCCGTCTCCACTTTCTTGAAATTGAGATGAAGTCTGTTTGGTTTTTAAATAATAATAATAAATAATAATTTAATTTAAACAATACAATTTACAAAATAAATTGCAATGACTGTCGACTACATAGGTCAAACTAGTAGATCTGGAGTAGTGAGATAATCAGAACATAAGAATTTAGTTAAAGTTAGAATGACTGCTCCCAAGAAAATAAGAAATCTAGAAAATCACTCGGCTACAGCACTGCATGCATTAACGCAGAGTCACACAATAAGGTGGGAGAGAGTCAAGGTTCTGCAAAGTATTATAGGTAGGTGGAGAGAGCGATTGATTATTGAATCCTGGTTCATCAAGCCTATAGCCAAAATTTGCAGCAGAAATTACCCAACGCAAATACCAGAGATATGGAAGATATTATTACCAGTCAAATTAGATGGTAATAATATATAATGTTAACATGTGTTCAATCCACATTATAACTTTCTAACAAGTTACTTATTCTGATTATAAAACATCTTATTTCCCATCTTGCTGTATTTTATTGATAACACTACCATTATTTCCGAATGTTATTAGATGATTGGAGGCAATCGGCAGGAAGCCTTAGACCTAGATTTCGTGCTAGTTGGCATTCGTCAGTAAGGCTTATCTGCACCCTTGAAGGAACTCATGTCCCTTCTGAGATTCGAACCCGCGTCACCCAGTGCTGCAGTCTGAGACGTTACCACTGAGCTATTAGGGCTCGCGATTGACCTCCTGTAGGACTGTAGTAGATATTTTGATTTGACACTATTAATTGTGTGATGTGTCTAGTCCTCTGGTCGATGCAGACTGAATTCTATCAGTCAGGTTGTAATATGGCCACCGTTGTCCGTAGCTCACCATCACGGTGCACGTTGATTTGATGATATTAGATGGTTGGAGGCAATCCGAATGTACTTTATCTTATATTGATTTTATTCAAATGTTTAACCATTTTTTCCTCATGCATGTAGACGAAGCTAGAAAGTTATGTGAGTATCTTGATATGATCATGAGCAATAATTAGTGCTCGAAACGTGGTCATCAGTTATTATTACTGTATAATACTGTGTGATTTATCAAAAAATTTTATCCAAAATGGACTTATACTCTACCACAATACACAAGTCTTATACTTATTTGCTAAACTGATAGACTCAGTTGGTAATCTGGTCATCATTTCACTGCAGTCATCAAGAGCAATGTTCAGCTTCATTTTGAATGATTGGAATGTGAATCCCCTCTCATCAGCATACTGACTGTCTACCCAGGTCATCTGCCAATTCTAAACATACTCAATTAGAAAAGGGTAAGTAGGCTGTTAACTGATTGTCCGTATACTTTGGGCAACCTTTCATTGGGAGACTACTTACTGAAATTGTCCTTGGAATTCATGCCATTTATCATTCAAATATTATACACTTATTGGTTGGTAGTGATTAGTAGTGGAATCCCAAATGCACATTTCATCCTATGTGGAACTCGCCAGCTGGATGTACTTGCATTTCCAGTAATTGATGATAGTGTGTTCACTGAGAATCAGGCTACGCGCACATCAGTACAAACTCTAAGATGGTATTCAACAGGCAGCGAGGGCGAAAAGAGCCACGACTTGAGCAATGGGTATAAGTTGTTATTTATTTTTAGGTTAATTTCGCATTTATACACGTTCTCTTACCTCATAGCATTCACTTTATCATCATGAAGAGATATTTTCGACATTATTAATACTACTTTTTGTGATAATTTATAGATTTCATAAACATGTACCAGAATTCTGTTCTGCTGATTTTCGCATTCTGTGGTAGCTACCACTTGCCTTAAATTTGAAGCAACTACATTAGTCGCAAAATCATCACTGACACATAACTCTTTTTACAGAATTTACCAGCCTACTCAACCGCCCACTATATTGAATAATGTATGCTGAACATGTAAACTGATGCTTCTTAAAAGCTGCATTAATAATTTTATTTTGTTGTTAATTTTGAAATTACTGGTAGTTAACAATTATTATCGTAAAATTATATCAAGACATAATAATGGGCTTTATCAGTAGTGGAAATAGTTGAATTTTATTCTCATAATCTCAGAGAGACATGATTTCACTAAATAAATTACCAGTCACTAGTTAGGATTTCTATCCAAATCTGAATATATTCATTAGGGTGTGGTTGGTTTCTTTATCTTAGCCAGCCAATCATAATTTAGTAAAATATTTTTGGGGGTAAAATCAAAATTTTATTTCTGGGAGAGCGTGTATTTTTGTCACCCTTATAACTAATTACAATACACTAAATACTAAGTGGAATAACTAAAATTAGGGAATTATTTTATGACCAAATCAAAAGAAGGATCATATTATCGAAGTTTTTGAAATATGTTTATTGAGGCTGCAAAAATTCACCTAATTTCCCAGAATAATTTATTATCTGAGTAACAACATATGACATTAACCTGTAAAAATCCCCAAAAACATGAAACTGAGTAGAATACTGAATAATTTCATATATGAAATGATTGCATGACTAAATAAATCTGAAGCAAAAATTGAACACGTTACAAATTTTAATTCCCTGAAGATATCTGTGCAGTGTAGTGTTTATCGGTGATTTGGATTTAACAATATTGGTAAGTTTAAAGATCAAAATTGATAGTTTCCCACGTCTTTGTGAACCTTACCTTTATAAAATGTATTGTGTATATTCTTGGTTATCTAAAGTATGCATCTTTTGTTGGTCTATATGGGAATACAAACTGAAATTAACTAAAGTTGCATGTCACCTAACATTATTACTTTGAATGAATTAGTGGTATTGAAAGAGTTGAATGTTGGGATTTATTTTTCAGAAATTAGCGAACAACGATTTAGTCGATTTGATAAAACCAGTTACTGTTTGACTGTTTAGTGATGGTTTGTGGGGATTTAATTGATCTTAAATCAGATCATGAACTGACATCAATTAGAGAGTTATGAAATACCAGAGAATACTGGACTGCTGTTTCGCCCTAGTCTGGGACTCGTCACAGTACTGACCCATGACCGTACCGAGGATCAAAATCAGGACCTTCAGGTTATGCGGAGAGTCTAAATTGTACGCACTATTCCTCAGATATGTTCCTAGCCTTATGAAAAACAGAAATGTCCTTCACTGAAAAAGTTATCACTCAGTAGGTAGAAATCAATTTACCTTCATAACGAATACATCGAATGAATTTTGTTTTAGTTATCTTCTTGTTATTCATTATAAACTTGAGATGGTTATTTTTACTTAAAGTTTTTATTGTTTAAGTATAGTAGTAACTAAAATATTTAGTGCTAGTGTGTTTATCCAAATGGTCTGTGTGAGGAAACGTTCAGATTTGAATACTGCAACAAGGAGAACTTTTGCAGGAGTAAGTAAATTGATTTTATGTCAGGGACTCTTTATCAGCCCATACAACCTGAATAACAAACTATATAAGCGGTGAGTATGAAATAGTTTTAGTATACTTCATGCTTTTTTAAGAGTAGAATAACACCAAAAAATGGAACGTGACAGTAGAATAATCAGTTACGACCGAAATAAAGACAGTCTATACTGTAAAGAGAAGAATATTCTGGAATTTAAGGCTATTTCGAGCATAAGTGGAGACGGGTAGATAAACATATAAAACATTACTCAACGAAAATAAAAAATAAAGATAACACAGGGATTAATATTTGTAAGAAAACAGATGAATGCAATTAGCAGGTTACATCGTAAAAGTGAAATGAAATTTCTATAAGTTGAGGTGAAATGGTCAGCTCTTATCATGGTAATAATAAGTTAGTAACAGTTTGTTTTTGCATACCCTCCAGATGGCGACAGCTTCAGCAGTCTGAAGTAGTCGTGAAGTACTTGCTGTTTTCATTATCTTGAAAAATTTTATTGCATTTATCTAGTGTTCTGTGTGAGTCAGTTGTCCATTTATGGAGCTTTTAAATGACGCTTAACCTCTAAGAATAAGACTCTTGAATACATGTTCAACAACTCTCTAAGTAATTGAAGCCACATATACATGTGACCCTATAAACACAGTTGGAGTTTACAAGAGGCAAAATTGGTATAGTTTAGAATGTGTAATTAAACAGATTGTTTATTACTGAAATACTAGATTCGCGACTTGAATGCACTGTGTATATTGCATCTTTTATTCTCACAGCAATCCTTTTCCCAACCTCATCTTCTCTAGATACTAATTAAAGGAACATGAGTGTCTTCTTGACAGTATTGTGCTCTGCCTACTCCATGTCGCATTCAGTGTACTTCTCTGCAAACTGTTTTGGATATCCACTTTTCCTTAGGCCTTCACTAATGAGAGTGATTTCAGTTTCTAATGTATCTATGTAGAGAAGGTTTTCTGTCGTCCGGTATAGTGTTCTTACTAAACCCCTACTGTAGTTTACGGGACAGAAGCTGTTGAAGTTTAGGCACTGACCACCCCAGGTTGTTTTGTGGTGAGTACTTCTTTCTGTTTCTCCAGTTCTGTCTTCGTTAATTGCATTACTCTGACTTCCCGTATGGCTTATACCATGCCTTCATTTTCGGCTTGCTGTTCTACGCTTATAGAATGAACTTGTTATTCATTTAAATTATTTATAAATTACTACACATCCACTAGTTGTACAGTATATTAGATTGATTGCAGCTGATTAAAAGCTTATGAAATACACTGAATTCTTCTTATCCTGTAAAAGTTGTTCTTGTTGTTTTATTCAAATCTGTCAAGGCAACTGACTCTATGTACGTTCAGATAGATCTAAGCTAAATAAAATATCATTCAAACTTCAGCAAATATGCCACATTAATCGAGGAAACATGACACTCAGTTGGTGAAATCAAATATATGCATGAACTATGAAATGCTGCAACGGTCCGTTCAAAATACCTCAAGTATGATGACCTGTTGAAGTCCCATTTTTCGTACAAGCTATGAGCAAACTGACTGCTTTAGTTAATGTCAGACTTATTCAGAAACTCAGAGACAGGACTGTATTTTGTTTCTTTTGTAATTTTCAGTGCTGCTTTTGATACGAAAATGAGATAAGTGTTGAAAATATGTCAGTGTGTGGTGAATTTTATAAAAGTAATTAACTTAAGACTAGTGATAATGAGATACAGTAACAATCATGGAAATTTAGTATATATTCGTTCATCGCCTATGGAGTGCCACAGAACACATTCAATGATCAATACATGACTTTCTTTCTTTTAATTTACGTTACTGTTGTCCAAGCATTATACGATAGATCCTATACAAATTGTACGTACAATACTTTTATACTCTATGCTCTCTCCTTATTAATCCCTTGTTGCTTTGAATGAAACTCATACCGGGTGTTTCTTTACTGCTACATATTATTTTGTACACTTTTTGACAGTAAAAGGTGAGCAATGAATAATTTTTCTCCATATTTTTAACCCCTCTGGCTAAATTAAATTAAAATTCATACTAATAGAAGTAAAAATAAATTTGCATCACAAACAATTGCTACCATTTCCGATTGTAAGCTTATTCATATTATTTCTAAAGCGAAAATAAAACAAATATTGTGTTTTACATAAATAATTACTAGAGTTGTAAAGCCAAAGCAATTAATTTACAAAAGTTGAAAATAATTGAGAAGGTATTCTACAGGTAAAGAACTGGGCGATAACAATTTAACTAGGGTAGGACACAAGCTGGTTTCTCTTACAACCTAAAAATTATCCTCTGTGAAATCGCTAAGTTATCCTGTAATCGTTAAAAACTTTTTATAGGACTTCTGAACACTTTTGGTAATTTTCTGTAACAATAACGCTTGCAAATTAATTGAGACGTCAAATAAAAGCATTCCGTTAGTAAATTCATCCAAGGTCTATTAGAGTGCGCCAATGACACAGCGGTAGAATGCTCACCGACGACACATGCGGTCCGGAGTTTTATCCTCGGCCGACACACTCCTTTACCTTGCTCGGCCAGTAATAAGACTGGTAAAGAGAGAAGGTTGGGCATGAGGCCTATTAGACCTTTTAATGAAATAAAATTTTCTGAGGCAATATTATATCTTTTTGCAATTTTCGTTCACCTTTAAAAGCAATGTCTCAATAAAATATTATTACTAGTTAGTGAAATTACTGAATCATAAGAAACATAAAATTACTGGGAATAAACTGGAATTTGATCTTATGCTAAGCAAAAATGACCAAATCTTCCTTTCATCCGGTTTGTAAGTTAGTCTGTTTCTCAAATAACCGCGATAAAACTTCACGACTAAATTTACGTAGAAAATAGTGCCTTGTTATTTTAGTCGTTCTAAATGTTTTCCATTTTATACTCCTTTTTGAAATGAATTTGAATGCTAATCTTCAACGTTTTCTAATTTTGAATCGTACAAAAAATACCGTCCTTAAACATCTTCGTTTGGACTGAATGGACTTAAATAAAAAATCCAGTTTGTAAGAGTAGAATTCGGGAGCCCTGTTAGAATATAATTCCATATTTATATAAGTTAAACTGGTATAGCTCACACTGACACAGGATGACATTACAAGCATAACTCATTGCTAGTAATCATATCAGTGTATTCGCACAACTTGATAACTTGCCGTATATGACCTTACTCTACGCTATTTCTCTCCGTAGTTTCCGATGTATCCATGACGTGTGCAGTGTCATTTTGACTGCATTCGTTTGATTTTGACTCGATGACGACCACATGCATGAATCAGTCAGTGCATTCAATACATTTTCGCTGTTTCTATCTTTACTTACTTCTCTTTAAAGTTTCCTGTCATGGAAGTGCCTAATTATGTCAGCCTAGTGACTGACTTCAAGGTTTCCCTTTCATTTCGTAGATTCTTATGATACTGTTTAAGAATAGTCCTAGGAATTTCTTCTAGACAAAACATTTTGATATCAACACATTCTTGTGGTTCTTGATCATCTGCTTATCGCAGAATTTGTTTCATAAGCAGATGCTCCCTCGAAATGCCCTTTCTGTTTCGAAATTGTTAAGGTATTGCCATTCTCTGACTCATATTAGATATATACATAGAGTAAAACTGTCTGGGCACCGGGAACAGTACTGTTCTACTGATCTTCTTACTAAAGTCCATTAGTTGTTTTGTGGAATTAGGTTTATCTTCAAGATCGTCCTTTAAATGCAAGTCTTCTACCCATAATAAAGAGTAATTTCTCTATGAATGATGGTTTGAGTGTTTAAAACAATGATTTGGGCTGCGACTTCCTTTGTACAAAATATTTTGAATTATTTCACAATTTGTATCTAAATTTACACATATGTTCTTATGCATTCAATATGCGTTGAAAGTCTTCTAGGATCCCTGTTTCGCATCACTTCACAGTAAAAAGGTTTTTTTCAGTTAAAAACCGTGACCTGCCTCCACCGATGCATGCTATTGCCTTATGAAGTTTCATTACTTTTTAGGACTTGTCACAGATTTAAATAATACAGTACTTATTGTAATCTTTGCATTATTAATTATTCTACTACTTGGTCTGAAGACTTTCTACAGGTTTATTGATTTATTAAATTTTGAAATATATGTAGTGTAAGGAGTGGGTTATTTCTGCTTGAATGTTTATTGAAACCTGTCTTTATTTAT